GTTTAGTTTCTAAATATGCGTATTTATGACCCCTTATCGAGTTATTGACTCTTGCCTTGCCAAGAGTTGATTTCAGCCAACACCAATGAGCTAAAAGTTGATGAGTTTTTATGGTGTTGGCTGAAATCACGATTAGGTACGAATTCTCTGCACATAATATCTGGATTATGGACGAAACTGGAACGAAGTTTTTTTCTGATCAAATAAATATATTTTTTCTAGTCAAGGATACATTTTTTTCATGTCAAGGACGAATTTTTTACCGCAAGGATATATTTTTTAAGTCAAGGATATATAATTTTATGTTAATGAAATGTTTTTCTTTAGTGATAGATTTAGTCAGTGATAGATTTTTTAAGCCAAGAGTATATTTTTTTCAAGTTAAGTATATGATTTTTTGAGTTGTTAATAAATGAGTGAATGTCATATTTTTTATTATATTTTCTTATTTTTAACTGTAAAGTGTTGCTTTTTCATTTTTAAACGAAAAATATGCATTTAGGGTCAAGGGACCAAGGGTTTGCGCCTTGCCCCAAGCCGATGGGCCCATTGCCTCAGGGGCGGGGCAATGGGCCCATTTTGACACGTTTTACAAAATAGTGTTTCATTAAAAATTGAATAAACATATAGGCGTCTAATTCACATCACACATTCCTCATTAGTTGCACCTTTAAACAAAACAAAGAACCACCTCGTATCAATTAAAACTTCATCAAAAATTTAGTTTAAAAAAAGTGGGGGGCGCGCTGCCCCATGTTGCCCTACTAATTTTTACAGAGCTTCAAGAGGATTTGTTCTCATATACGTTTTCTCTCTACTCCCTGGAAAAATTTTTTTAATCATATGCAGAAAAAACTTCTTATTCAATATGTGCATCTAAACGCGAATTTATAAGAAAGGGTCTTCTTGATCAACAATAAATGCAACAGAGTTAAATATTTCACTTTAAGCATTTCGGAATTGATCGCGTGAGATTGATTCATTTGCTTCTCAGAGTAATTATGTCTTTAGCATAATCGTATACATTATACCAGCTTGATAGTTATCAATAAAGACATCAATATTATCTAACAATCATCGTTGTATACGGTATTCAAAATCAATAATGTTTGAAATAATAGTAACTTCTATCATAAAATTGCTTAAATCGAAAGTTAAGCAAGAATTTAAAGCAAAGCAAACGGCAAACACAAGATCTTCATAGAAGCAATAATATCTTCGGTAAAAATATAGTGAATTTGTTAACTTTTGTGTTTCTTTAAGTTCTCGGTCGCAAATAATATGATGTCTTTTAGATTTTACTCAACACTGATTCCGTTCACTAGAAACCGAAAATATTTTTATTACTGCACCTGGTCTTCAGTTAGAAAGTGGTTTTCGATCTAATGTAATACATAAATGAATTCAAATAAATCTATTGAAGATCAGAATACGATTATTATTATACCTTTGTTAGCATCGGACGCCAACGAAATTTATAATTGTAAAATTTCAACTTGACTTCATTTGCAAACAGAATAAAATGCCCTGAAAAACGAAATAAACTTGGAAACAACAAAGGAATAAAACAAAACCTGGCAACAAATATTTTTTAAATTGAGCTTAGGAGACGTGGGCGAGTCTACAAATTGAAGGAAAATCGAAAATTTATGAGCTGAATTCTAAAACTTCATTAATTAATTGATCCAAATGAGTGAATCACACGTATATTGTGATTCAGTATACGTACTTGAACGTATATTGTGATTCACAATATACGTTCAAATTCGAAGCATTTGAACGTATCATATGCGAAGCATTTGAATTAACCACATTCGAAGCATTTGAATGAATCACATTCGAAGTATTTTAATGAATTACATTCGGAGTATTTTAATGAATCACATTCGGAGCATTTGAAGGAATCACATTCAAAGCATTTAATTGAAGGAATCACATTCGAAGTATTTTAATGAAGGAATCACATTCGGAGCATTTGAAGGAATCACATTCGAAGCATTTGAAGGAATCACATTCGAAGCATTTGAAGGAATCACATTCGAAGCATTCGAAGGAATCACATTCGGAGTATTTTAATGAAGGAATCACATTCGGAGCATTTGAAGGAATCACATTCGGAGCATTTGAAGGAATCATATTCGAAGCATTTGAAGGAATCACATTCGAAGTATTCGAAGGAATCACATTCGGAGTATTTTAATGAAGGAATCACATTCGGAGCATTTGAAGGAATCACATTCGGAGCATTTGAAGGAATCACATTCGAAGCATTTGAAGGAATCACATTCGAAGTATTCGAATGAATCACATTCGGAGCATTTGAAGGAATCACATTCGAAGCATTTGTAGGAATCACATTCGAAGCATTTGAATGAATCACGAGCGAAGCACTGAATGTTTAGTTCAACATTCCATCACTGAACGAAGATCGAACGACAGATTAAGTAGGGTTGTACTGACACATGTCACGCGAGACTGATGAAGCTACACTGTGTTGCAGTTAGACCTGGTGAGTGTTTTATATATTGTTGTATATTTGGGTGAATATTGTACATGCTTTGTTTTACGTGCACGTCGGTAAAATGCTTACCTACTTCTGAAATAAGTAGTAACAAAGTTGTAGCTTATCATTCTTGATTTGTTAATTTGCAATCGTCTGCATAAATCAGATAATAATAACACTCTAATTACACCCCATTTTTATCCTGCATCAGCGTAAAGTAATATAACTTTTGCGTTGTAATCAGTAGAGAAAATAGATCCAATGTATAAAATTAAATGTAAATAGACCAATAATGGGGTTGGAACTTTGGTGATATGATGGCATGTGTGATGAAAAACTTACTTGAAGCATTTTTTGTAATGATTCGTTGAAACAATTGCGCGCGCATTGTTTTTTTTAATAACTCGAGCTATCAATTGACCAAGCTGCGGGAAATCATACAAATTTCAAGCAGCGAGATCGGAAGTTTGGTCGCCACATCATGCATTATATTACTGGACCAAAAATGTGAACGAGCCAGTGTCACAATGTAAACTTTTTTCTTGCCCATAGTTCTAGTAGAGAGCATTGAAGCGGGACAAACCGGGGCAAAATGACGAAAAAGTAAAAACAATTGGACTTTGCCCTTCGTATTTTCGAGTGCACCGTAAACAAGGAACTGAGACAAGTCATCGGGAAATTTAATAATGAAATTGAAATTTATTGCTTCGATCTCCAGCGCAAGCACCACATTTTAATTAAGCATTACTGAGGAATTAACTAATAAGGTATACGCAGAAAAGTAGAGACTTTGTCCATATATCGATGTACTTGTTGACCTGAGTGGGTCATCCTCACGAAGTTTGGCCCGGCTAAAGGAAGTATCAGTGCTACAAGCAAAAAGTGTGTTACTATGGAGACAACATGACTCATCTATTTATTTAAGTGTAAATTTTTTGTTGAAAGCTACATAGTATTTTAAAAAGGACACTATAATTGTGTGTGAAAATTAGAAACTTATGTGCTTTAGTTTTACGAATCTTTGTTACTGCAAACAAACAGGTTTATAAAATCTTCAATAATATTGAGAAACAGGCGGATATTTTCTAATCGAATGGCACCCCTTGGTACAAACGTAATTCACATATATTTATAAAAACATTGCCATTATAATGCGTCTTCTTTTTGTTCCTAATTCTTATGTTGTTTATAGGGAATGATATAAATAATTAGAAAATACTTCGGAAATTCATTCAATTGCAAAATTGTAGCAGTCTGTGAACGGAGGAAGTAAAAAAATCCACTGTTAATTTACATACGTAAATTTTTTTCGCCACCAAAAGTTTTCAGCTTAGTTTTTTTACCTCGTGTAAAAAAGTTCTTACATCATGTAGTTCAAGTTCTTATATCACGCATGACAAATTCTTACCATATGTACTTCAAGTTCATACCTCACGCAGTTCAAGTTCCTACCTCATGTACTTTCTTTCCTTGCCACGCGTACTCAAGTTCTCAAGTTTTCATCACTTCTAACTTACAATCAACGCCTGCCACTCAGAACTTCAGACCAAGCCAGAGGGCATTTATATTCGAATTGAAATAGCCCGTAATCACTTTTAGCTTTATGATATTGTCAAGCGTCGAGAGTATCAAACGCAAAGAGCATGTACAACGTACATAAATAAAATATATGCAGCAATCTTTACTGTATCAAGTATTAATAAAAAGACCGTTCATTGCACGAACCTCTTTCTCTTCCATTGATCTTTTCCTGCCACTCAATGGCTGTTAAAAGAAAACAGTAGTGACACTATATGTACATTCAACTAAAATATCAATTTTAAAACAAGATCATTACTTAATTGCTCATGAAATACTGTGGCCCTGGTTTCTATCCCTTGCATCATTGTCATTTTACGTGGAGTTAAGTGTAGTGAAAGTAGTGAAGTGTAGTGAAATGTAGCGAAATGTTTGGGAGGGCATTGCAGTGTTGCGTGTGTAGTGTGAAGTGAATTGAAGGGTTGTGAAGGGTGGTTAAATGTATCGAAATATATGAATGGATCACTTCTACAGTACAGAGGCTGACAATACTTTTAACAAGCGTCACTGGTCTCGATCTCAACTCGTAGTTAAATACAAACAAGACTGTACAAATATTTCTCTTTTTCAAAGTGCCAATGGAACATAAAATCACGCATTGAAAGTGGATCACAATAACAACACCCAAGTTTCTGTTTTAATGTGTTTACTCTGGACAAGACGATATATATAAATACAGAATCCATGCCTTATATGCCTTAAGAATCCATACGTAGAATCAAAACATATGATATAAACAATCAAAGTGCCGCACATGTATGCTTTATCTAATTTGTACAATTATTAAGTGGTTTTATTTCTGAAATTAATAATGTGATGTTACAATAATTGATGCTAAATAATCATTACTGGAACATAAGTAGCATTGAAAAAGAAAAGGAAATATTTCTTTCATAGCTCTTAACATTTTAAATTTTTTAGCGAAGTTTTTTCTCCTTGCAGTTAATTGAAAATTAAATCTCAACGGAATCTGACCCAACGGCTAAAAATCTCATTTTTAACTAATGCTAAATTTTATAAAAGCGCCGTGTTTGCTAAAAAAACTTTCCTTCCATGAAGGCAAGTTGTGCTGCCTAAATAGAAAAGTCGATCCAAATAACACACTATATTTAGACACACGAGTATAAGTTATTCACGCTAATGAATTACCAATAAAACATTTTAACTAAACCAGATACCAACATAACACTTCAACCGAACCAGATACCATCATAACACTTCAACCGAACCAGATACCAACATAACACTTCAACCGAACCAGACACCATCAAAACACTTCAACCGAACCAGATACCATCATAACACTTCAACCGAACCAGACACAAACGTAACACTTCAATCAAACCAGAGACAATCATGACACTTCAACCGAACCAGATACCATCAAAACACTTCAAACGAACCAGATACCATCATAACACTTCAACCGAACCAGATACCATCATAACACTTCAACCGAACCAGACACCAACGTAACACTTCAATCAAACCAGAGACAATCATGACACTTCAACCAAACCCGATGCCCCATTTCAACCGAACTAAATGCGAATATAAAAGTTCAACCAAACCTGATACCAAACACCAATTTCAATCAAACGTCAAAATTTCCCTGTTCATTGGCTGGATGTTCAAGCAGTTTACCTCAGCAGTCAATGCTGGCTTACCTCACGACAGCCCAAAAACGACCGCGCACTTCATCTAAAATACAGATATAGTATAATAGATAAGGATAGATAGATAAGGATAGATAGATAAGGAAAAATATATAGGAAAGTTTATGATGTCATCAGTCCTCCTGAGGAGTTGGCTGTTAATTGGCCCAGAGTCCCAAGTGACATGACACCAATTCTAGAGTGCGTCATTGTCAAAATGACTTAGTCGCAATGCAAAATCGACACCGGACGTACATTTGTTCATCTCCGGCCTGTTGAAGCATGATACACGGCCTAAAAATTTTATGCTTTTACAATAACATCCATGAACTACGTTTGCCTGACCACAGGCAAGACATTTTTAACCTGCTATAATTACTCGATAACTCGACATCTACCAGTTCACGCCAAAAACGTTGGCTTGGCAGACAGGAAAGAAAGGCCACCACGAGGGCTCATCGTTAATCTGCCCCGATGACGCGTAGATGAAATTAGCATTTTCGTCGTTAATGAGAACGCTGGTAACGTCGGTATCAGCCAAAGGTGTTTGCCCTCGGATCATGGGTACGTTCTTGATCTTGACCATGTCAACGTAGAACCACCTACTCCAGTCACTACAGCTAGTCTCTCCGGGGTTGGGTTTCCTGCCGAGGCACAACTCCAGCAGGATGGACATCTGGGCCTCGAACATGACGGCAATCAGGCGGAAGCCGGGGATGGCCTCGCATGCCGCCTTGCTGGCGGCGTAGCCCCGGACTTGGGTGGTCAAGCGGCGGTAAATCAGACGATCGATGGCCCAAGGCTCCACCAGCTCTGAAATATTTCAGGTTTGGATTGTGAGCGTGATTAATATTTATTACGTAAATATGACTGTATTAGATGAGCTATAATTATAGATGACAAAAGATATTGATATCCAATATAAAATATTTCGAGGAAGATACACTTGATGATTTCAGGAGGTTTCTCAGCAAATTTTACACCAATCTGCCGATCTCATGAAACTTCGTCACTCCATGATGTAGAGCCTTAAGTCTTACGTTTCTTGACAAAGTACAAAGCCCAAGGGACGTCGCCTGGCGTGTTGACGTAGACGTTTTCTCTGGCCAGCCTGCACGTGAGCGCGTTGTTGCTGCTCGGGCGAACACTGAACGCCGCGCACTCGTTGCGAGTGAAGCACATCATGTGACAGTCACCTGTGCGATGAATAGTTTAGAATTCAGTTATTTTAAAATTTTAATTACTAATGAAATGAAAAGTATAATTATTAAAACAGTAAACAAAAGCTTGTAATGAACTAAATTATTGTTTGGAAATGACTATCATCAATAATTGAAGGAATCAAAATTATTGTACCCAATTGCGAAATCCAGTTTTCCAAATAACTGAAGGAGCTTTAAATTTTTCTTGGTCACGTAGCCAAGTGGTGGTTTATGGTTAAACAGTTCAATTTAGGCTTATCACGACAAAAAATAACTTGTACTAGCTAATTCTTGGATTATGTTGCTAATAACGGACTAATCTAAGGCCAGTTCTGGACAATTTTTGCTCATTGCTCCTTTTCGCTTCAGGCTCGCCGAATTGTCTGGAAAATTATATCATATATCATATCATAGTGATGTCGGTGCTGGAGAATATAGGCCTGATGTGGCCTGTCACCGATTCTTGTACCTTCCGTGACTCGCTCACTGGAGATCTAAAAACAGGTCCTTTGACCGGATATTTTTAAAAATTAATATAAATGTCCATCTTTGCCTCTTATAAAAGAAATAGGCATAATCAATTTTTTAGGCAGAATATAGCTTGAAACAATTTCTGCGGTAGACTCAATGGCGAACAAAAGAAACATGTACCACATACCTTTAATTTTGGTTCGGCCTCTAAGTTGAACGAGAAAAGATGACATGTTTTATGCTATAAATATAAATGTCACGCTCTTTTGCAACAACTGAGAGTTACTCGGAATTGTTCGCTTAATCCGGGTTTTATAATTGAAAACGTAATAATGCGAGGGACACATCCAAACATGAACATTATAATCCCTCTTTCATTCATGCAATTATCACCCAAACATGATCGATCACAACATTTATTAACTCATGAATCACTATATTATTTATTTTGCAAAACTTTTCTCGAATGCTTCATTTGAATTCACTGAGCTTAACTGTATGAATGAACTGAACAAAATATGAAAACTATATATGTGCAATTTTGGACCAAGACAGGATATTGAGATTGAAATTGATATTTTCCGCGAGATCTCTCCTTCCTCAAGACTTACCGAACCAACAGCTATATGACGTTAAAATAACGTCAATTTAACGTTGTTTCAATAAAGTATACTCGTATTAACGGTTTTTAACTTCATTTGCCTGGAGGGAATTATTTCCCCGCGTAGAAATAGAATCAAGAAAGCAATGATACATTTACTCACACTTGCGCGTGATTTCCGTCTCGACATAAGCTTGACTGGCATTCAGCCCCTTGCCCAGGATTGAGTGAAAGCCTTTCGGGTCATAAATGACGTCAGTGGACATCGCCAGCGCCGCGACGCACGAACCTATGCCACGTAGCCACAACGCCAACGCCGTCAACGCCACATCGACTAAACGCATTTCCAAAAATCGAAGTTCCACGAAAAATTCGTATACTTGTATTTTGTACACTTGTATTTTAGACAGAATATATTATTTCCGGTGATTATGATTGTGAAAATCTATAAATAGCAGAAAACAGTTGCTGGATTTTTCCGACGGCGTAGGCGTGTGTGATCGTCGGTAACAGTGCAGTAAGACTGCCGGTGGCGCTGTGGACTCTAAGGCAATTCACTCAATGCAAACAATGCTCTCAATGCGCGAATATGCGCGTGAGCTCTACCGACCAATTAGGGCATATTGGAGTATTAAAAATTGAGGGTTAATCGTCTGAGTTCAGAAGTCTAAAGTTCATAATTGCCTGGAACAATATAGCTCTACAATTGTTCTGCACCTGAAAATCAATTGAGAAAATTAGAAAGGGCAGAATATAAATTTTGGACAATTTGGTCTGTTTAACGTATAAAATAACGGTTGAAAGTGAAAAAAATATATTCCAAATGAATTATCTGCTAAGAGCACAATAAGCTAATGTAAAATGTACGAAGAAAAAATCTCGGTTCGATGTTTAGAACTTTTTAATTAAATTAAAAGATTGAACACATTGTTTAATTATATATACATAGTACATGATTGAATAAAAATTATTTGATAAATCAGTATTTATATTTATATATATTTATCCAGAATAAACAAACGTCACGTCCATAAATCTGTTCTAAGCATAATAATAATAAACATTAATTTAAATATATGATTGAAAGTTTTAAACTGAGATAATTTTTTGAATAATTTTGCATTATCATGACAAAACGATAATGTTGAGAATTTTTCGTATAATGTCTGGAGGCAAATAACAATTTAAATATTATTCAGCTGTTAATAAATGTTCAGTTACAGCCAACCAACCAAGTTTCAATTTCATACAGAGTGGAACCCAACTTATATTGAGACCGACATATTAATTTCTTTTTCAACCGACCTTATATATAAGGAACCTTTATTTTACTAACATGAAAAGGCAATCAGTTTTAAATATTTAATCCGTTGCTCAGTCCATAAAGAAGTGATACTGTTGCATGTAATGCTGATACTCGACACATTGCAAACGTACTCATCATTCTCTGGGGAGGTTGAGTTAATTAATGCGTGCCTTTTGCGACTGGATGACAGGAGTCAGCGATTTGTGCGAATGATTGATCGGTTCAAAACATGCCATAGCTGAGCAATTCAGGCGTCATTTGTTTGCCCAGGGTTACGCTGGTAACGAGCGAGGCGGGCTGCCATCGCTTTGGTGATTCTTTTACTGATCATTGTTCAGAGCGTCCACTGAATCACACGTTTCATAATTTTTAATTAGTTATTTGCACCTATAGGGCCCAGAATATCACGAAGCTATTTTCTATCTCGTTGCAACCTAGTTGATGTTGCGTGGATTTCTGCCGTATTGTGTCTTGGCTTAATTTTGAGTGACGGTAAGGAAGTTTTCGTATACTCGGATGATGAAGTTTCTGTGGTTGCCTCTAGTTTACCACCTATGGTTATGGTTTCATTTCTGCCAGTTCGTGTACCGTTCCTCCTGTTAAAATGTATTAGATAAATACCGTCACAGATACTTCTGATCGTATTGCTCTGTAGCGGTTATTGATTTTGACCCATTTTTTGTACTCCATTGTTACAAATGGACTTGGTCATCTGATTCCATCTCTATCTCTTATGGTTCGCATGTAATTCAATCATCTGCAAGTTGTGATTGAATCGAAGGACTTCAGTGGGGAAAATAACTCTTGTGTGCCAAGAAGAAGCTATACATACACATCGGTGGCGGATGGACTTTGGGTTGCATAGGAAATAATCATCTCAATTTAGGCGGATTCGGACGCTCCCGAATGTTGTGGATCGTAGCCTAGTAACCGATGAGTCTCTGCTGTCTACTTGAATCTGTGCGAATTGAAAAGTGGGAACTTCATCTGACGACAGCCGTTTTGCTGACGGAGTTCTGAATTATATCAGCTAGTAGGACTGTAAAAAAACTTGAAGCTTCCAAGATACCTCAAATTTTGCATTGGTCTCTTGCTAGTTTTAGTTAGGTTCTACTTAATTCGTAGTCCGTATTGTATTGGCATAATGATATGTTTTATGGGTAGGTTCGTGACCTTTTTCAATAAAACACTATTACCTGGTTTTCGCCACTTCAATTTAGTGACGAGTTTCTTGCTTTTTCACTATCCCGTTAGCGTAGCCTATATATGCTGGAAGCTCTCCCACGACAATGTTATTGAGACTTGATTCGTATAGTCATGCTCGCATGGGACCCATCTGTGACACTAATTTACTCCAACCTAACCTAACCTTAAGACTTACACTCATGAATTTTACATGTCATGTTTACGTATAACAATTATCAGAACCCTGGTAATTTTGAATTATAAGAAAAAGTATTTTGAAAATAAGTTTTGTGAAATTAAAATTAACATACTGCAATTTGAACTAATTTCACGCGTAACTTCGATTTAAATAGTATTTAATTTAGTCGTATCTATGTATAAACATTTTTTATCTGAATTAGAATATGTTCGGTCAGTAAACGTTTACTCTAGCCTAACACTAAAATTTCATTGGTCCAGACTTGGACGTTCTATTATATAGACCGGTAGGAATAAGAATATAGTTCTTAACAGCCACGTTTATCACAAATGGAAATGGATTATACCTACAATTAGATCTGAATACATTCATAACCATACCACATGCGAGTTCAAATAAGGCAATACGAATGAAAAATATCCCGAACAACCGAAAAGTGTTGGATCAAAGCCGATCCAGTGCGCTGCATAGAAGCCGAAATTACTTATTTGAAGAAGGAGTCATGCCTTGAATTGATGTCTCATCGATCTACGTATGTTTAAAGTAGAAACTAGAGTGCACACACCCTGCCCTATTGAAAAGTTTGTTTGCTCTGCCAAAATGACTAATTTGGCATAAGACATCAAATACTCCCACCAAATTGCCGGCTGTCATGTCTTCCAATTGAACAAATCGCAGTGAAGAACATTAATCCAGGTCCAAACTGTTGATCATAACATGTTTTGCCTTCTACAATACCACAGATATATAGTAATTCTACCAATCATTAGATTATCACATGATTTTTGCTGCTTTTTAACGAATCTCCCTGAATTCCTTCAAAATATTTATTTCAGTGATCAGGCACATTGTTTAACATCGAAATTTAGAGCGATGTTAAATTTTTATGTTCATTTTTTTATGTTCATTGGCATGCAATAGCTCGCTAGCAGGAAACTGACTCTGAAACAATATGCTGACCTGATGATTGTTTGATTTTCCTCAGAAACAATCTCGACGACTTGGGATTGAAGCTTTGTTTCAATTGCAGGGTTTAAATCATCAACTTTCGATTAGCTATTTGTCCCATACACAGTCCCCTAAAAAAAACAACCTGCGATAATTGCTTTTCCACTCAATATTCAGAGGCGTAGCAGCTTCTGACTCGAGAAACCAGAAACTAAGACTGATCTAAATTGTGCTAGTGTTCTTGTTTGTTATAACCTGCTTACTTTGTTCAACTGTGTGGATGATTTACTTGGACATTATTACATTCAAATAATATTCTGTTGTGAGCGAAATACATTATATATGTAACATTATTCATATGGCTTGACCTTGTCATGTCGTGAGATGGCTAGACCCGATCCTAGTCATGCCTAAAGATATGGCCAGACTAGATCCTTGTCATTTATAAAGATATGGCTAGACCAAATCATTGTCATGTCTTGAGATATTGCCAAACCCGATCTACGTTATGTCTGTAGACTTAAATTGTTATTCATTCATCTATATTGCACAAGGCAAAACATGCTATGATCGACAGTTTGGGTGGGTAGGGTGGGGTCAATGACCCCAAGATCATTTATCGAGATAAATGTTCTTCACTGCGATTTGTACATTTGGAAGACCTCACAGCCGGCAAATCAGAGAGAGTGTTTGAGATCTTATGCCAAATTAGTTATTTTGGCAGGGCAAACAAACTTTTCATTGGGGCAGGGTGTGTGCACTCTAGTTTCTACTATAAACATACGTAGATCGATGAGACATCAATTCAGTGGAATGAATTCTTCTTCAAATGAGTAAATTCGACTTTTATGCAACACACTCCTGGCTTCAGTAGTTCGGGTTATTTTTCATTCGAATTGCCTTATTTGAACTCGCATGTGATATGGTAATAAATGTAATCAGTAATTCAGACCTAATCGTTGGTATAATTCATTTGTGAGAAATTAACTGTTAGCAACATATACTCATATTTCCACCAGACAAAGATATATAACATCGAAGTCTGAACCAAAGATATTTTAGTCTGAAGCAAGTCAAGTAAACGTTTACTCGTCGAACATGTTCTAATTAAGATAAATAATTTTAACACACAGATACGACTAAAATTAAATATGATACGAACCGAAGTTACAAGTTAAATTAGTCTCAAATTGCCGTAGCCTATGTTATTTTCAATTTCACAAAAAGTAACTTCATACTGTATTTTTTTAAATTATCGGGGTTCTCATAATTGCCATACATGGACATGACATGTGAAATTCATAAGTGTAAGTTACAATGTTAGGTTAGGTTGGAGTAGGGTCACAGTTGGGTCCTAGCGAGCATGACTACGAATCAAGTCACAATCAGTCACTGGAAGAGTCACATTATTGTGGGAGAGCTTCCAATATATATAGGCCACCCCAACCGGACAGTGAGGAAGCAAGAAACACGGGATCTTGTTAAGAATACGTAACCCCGACGTTACCGGGGTGCGTATTTTTAACAAGGTTAATTGAATGAATTATAGAAATAAATTTGGTGTATTTAAATATTTTTAAGAATTACAAATCGATATAAAAAAATACATTGTAAAACATAAAATCCCAAATGATAAGCTAAACGTCTTACAATGTATTGAGCCGCAATGTG